TCCCGCACGGTGTCAAATTATCCTGGCACGATGCCTAACGCCGTTCGAGACGGAGTCTGGGAAGCCGTGGCTTGGCAGTGCGACGCGGCGGGAGGGGCTGACGCGCGCGCTGCCGGACTAGAGGTGCGAGGCATGTCTTGGTTGCACTTGGACGCGAAAGTGGGGGAGGCAAATCCAGCTCTGATCTGAGGAGGCCTAGGCGAGCGCGCGTCGAAGGGACCCCCCCAAGAGAAAAGCCGGGAGTGGCACGGCGTTCGTACGGCCGCAGCCCCGCCGCGGGACAGCGCGCCCGAAGCGAGAGAGGACCCCGAAGACAGCAGCCTCGCGGAGAAGGGCAGCGGCGCAGCGGCGGCGAAGCGTCGGAGGAAAGGACAAGGAGCGTACTGAGAGAGCACTGACCATATTGATGCATAGCAGGCATGCCACTTGGGCATCCCGAGGCCTAGGACTAGGACGGTGGCCTGCCTCCGAAAGGACAGGTCCAATGGGCCTCCCGAGGCGAAGCCACCGGGAGGCATGGCGCGGGCCCTCTCGTCGCCCAACGTGCCGGGGCCTCTCCGGCAGAAGTGCCGCTTTGGTGGCTAGACGTGTCCTCAGAGCCCCAGGGCCACCGCGGTGTGGTAGGCATGGCACTTGGGCGTCCCTAGTGGGAGCCGCCAGGGGGTACGTCACGGGCCCGTTCGCGCCCAAATTGCCGGGACCTCCCAAGCAGAATTTCCGCTTTGGCGGCTAGACGTGCCCCCTGTCAGAGTCCCATGACCACTGCGATATAGCGGGTATGGCACCTGGGCGTCCCGAAGAGGAGCTGCTGAGAGGTTATGGCATGGGCCTGCAATGGTCGCTCTGATTGTCGGGAGCTCTGCGGCAGATGTGCCGTGTTGTAGGGGACCGCATGCGAACCCTACCCCTACCCCCACGATTTCTGAGGGGGATGGTGGGCTTCTGAGGAGCGAAGTGAAGCCCACCCTCCCCCTCAGAAATCGTGGGGGGTAGGGGTAGGGTTCGCGTGTGGCCCCCTATGTTGGCGGCTCGACGCGTCTTCAGAGCCCGATATAACAGGGCTAGGATCGGGATAAATCGCTCCAGAGCGTTCCGGAGCGCTCTCAGAGCGTTCCGGAACGCTCTGGAGCGGCCGCGGCGCCCAATACATCCTCCAAACCCGCCGATTCTCAGAGATTTCGAGTTATCCCGATCCGATTGTGTCCCGATCTTCGCGTCGTTTTACCCGATGGTCATCGCAGTGTAGCAGGCGCACTTGGGCGGCCCAATTGGGAGCCGCCAGGAGGCATGCCACGCGCCCCTTCGCGCCAGTCTCGTCCGGCCCTCTACGGCGAAACGCCCGCTTCGGCTCAGCAGATGAGTCTCCTTTCGAGGCCCTGGGGCCACCGCAACGCAGCAGGCAGCCTCTGGGCATCCGACGAGGAGCCGCCATGCGAGGCCCACTCATACACGGACTCCCTTTACGTTCAGGCCTGGTCGTACTCGGGGAGCTCGCCAGAAACGAGACGCAAATGTGGGTGCCTCCGAGTCGAATGCATCCCTGGGTTGTTCCATGTCGTTCGCTTCCCACGCTCTTCGATCGAAGATCGGTCCACTTGCGGCCTCCGACGGCCTGGAGAAGCCCACCGAGAGCCCCGAAGAGGCTCCCTAGGACGGTCATGCTGGCTCGAGAGGGCTTCTGGAGGGACTCCAGGCGGCCTAAGATGGCCCCGAGACGGCCGAAGACGATCCCAAGACGGCCCCACGACGGTCATAAGAGACCCTCCAGTGGCCAAGAGAGCCCAAAGACCCAAGACGCCTCAATGGGGCCTCAAGACGGCCCGAGACGGCCCCGAGGGGTGCCCCCAAGACTGCCCGACAGGATCCCAAAACAGCCCCGGGACGGCCCGGCTAGTCCCTGTGAGAGGCCCTCAATGAAGCGGAGGAGACGGGCGTCAAACGCGACGACCTTCCGGGAGGGTCGCCACACAGGGCGCGCTTCGCCCGCTGACGCGGCGGCGGAGCCGCGGCGGACGTGCCGCAGGCACGCGGATATGCGACGTACTGCTCGAACGTGTCGCCGCTCTCGAGGCCAGGGAGCTTGCAGAGCTGCAGGAACTGCCGCGCGTCGAACGCGAGCTTGTCGATGCCCTGCATGATGTCCGTCTCCTCCGCGGCCTCCGCCTCGGCCACGTCTGCCTGGCCCATGGCCCCCGCCGCCACGACCAGGTGGCGCCGCAGAGCGGCGGCGTGGGTGGAGCCGGCCTCCATCCAACTCGAGAACTCCTCGAGCGACACGTCGCCATTTCCGTCGCTGTCCATGTCCTTGATGATTCTGGTGAGCTGCTTCTTCTGGAGCTTCATGTTGGCGGCACGGAAGACCGCCTCGATCTCTGCCTTCTCGAGCTTGCCGTTGCCGTCCTTGTCCACGGAGTTGAACATTCGTTCCAGCTCGCCTTCGCCGAGCTGCGAGAGGGACCGCGAGAGCTCGGAGGCCAAACCTGGCAATCCGAGCTTGCCGCCTGCCAGTTTGCCTGACTTCTCGGCGATGGAGCTGGCAAGCGTGCCTGTTAGCACGGTCTTGGTCGCTAAGTGCAGCGCTCTGAGACCTAGCTTCGGCTGTTGCTCTACACGCTGTTTGGAGTCTGTGATGATCCGGCTCATCAAGTCCACGAGCAGCCGCGACAGGATGCAGATGCCGTCGTTGCCAATCTTGAGATTGGCCTTCTGGCGCATGAGAACCGTGCGGATCTCCTTCGTGAAGAGCAGCGACCTCCCGGGGCCGAGACCGTCCCCACCCATGAGCACCTTGACGCACTCGGCGCGGCCGGCCGCCGCAGCAAAGTGCAGCGGAGTTCGCTTGACCGACCCGGTGGCACCACGATCGGCGCTCCACTCCGAGAGCAGCAGCTTCAGGGGCCCAGGCTGCGCGCAGGCGGCGGCGAAGTGCACCGGCTGGTGGCCTCCCTCGTTCTTGACGATGGCCGCAGCCGGCTCGCGCTTCAGCAGCTCGGAGAGCCTCGTGGCGTCCGGGTTGATGGCCGCGATGTGGATCGGGGTCAGTGCTCCTCCGAAGCGCAGCACGGCCGTCGCGGACCTGTTCTGAAAGTTGTCCGGCATGTCCTTCAGCCCTGCCGCCACCTCGTGGCCGGGCCCGACGCCCATCGAGGACAGGCGCTTGAGGACCAGCTGGACCACGCCCAGCTGCCCGTACCTCATGGCAGGCTCCAGGCACTCCATCAGGTCGCACGCGAAGGGGTCGCCACGGCCACGACCCAGATTCATGATCTTCCCCCGGCGCATGTAGGCCCTCTGGGTGATGAAATCCAAGCTCATGAGGAGCTGCAGGAAATCGGAGGGCAGCGGCGTGCGCGCGATGACCTCCTGCAGCGGCTCTGGGTTCCCTGGTTGGTCGACGAGGGCATTGTTGAGCTCTTTCCCACCGCGCGCCGCACCGACCTTACCTGTCTCGAACCCGAGCGCCAAAGGGTTCATCGAGCCTGTACCTTTAACGGGCGAAGAACGGTATAAAATTAGCCTGGCGAAGGACCCAACCATATGCAGCTGTGAGTACCGCAATAGTGAACATCTTCTTCGGTGCGGCGCCGCCATGCAAAACGCAGCCACTGGGAACTTCGGTGGAGCTCCCTATGGAGCCACGAAACGTGTGAGGGGTGTGCCGAAATGGGTGCGGCGCCGCCATGCCAACGCAGCCACAGGGGCCTTCGGTGGAGCTCCCTATGGGGCCACGAAACGTGTGAGGGGTGTGCCGAAATGGGTGCGGCGCCGCCATGCGAACGCAGCCAATGGGGCATTCGGTGGAGCTCACTATGGGGCCACGAAACGTGTGATGGGTGTGCCGAAATGGGTGCGGCGCCGCCATGCGAACGCAGCCAATGGGGCATTCGGTGGAGCTCCCTATGGGGCCACGAAACGTGTGAGGGGTGTGCCGAAATGGGTGCGGCGCCGCCATGCCAACGCAGCCACTGGGGCCTTCGGTGGAGCTCCCTATGGGGCCACGAAACGTGTGAGGGGTGTGCCGAAATGGGCGCGGCGCCGCGCGACGCAGCCACTGGGGCCTTCGGTGGAGCTCCTTAGGGGCCACGAAACGTGTGAGGGGTGTGCCGAAATGGGTGCGGCGCCGCCATGCCAACGCAGCCACTGGGCCTTCGCCTTTGTGTGGAGCTATGGGGCCACGAAAACGTGTGAGGGGTGTGCCGAAATGGGTGCGGCGCCGCCATGCCAACGCAGCCACTGGGGCCTTCGGTGGAGCTCCCTATGGGGCCACGAAACGTGTGAGGGGTGTGCCGAAATGGGTGCGGCGCCGCCATGCAACGCAGCCACTGGGGCCTTCGGTGGAGCTCCCTATGGGGCCACGAAACCGTGTGAGGGGTGTGCCGAAATGCCGGCGCCGCCATGCCAACGCAGCCACTGGGGCCTTCGGTGGAGCTCCCTATGGGGCCACGAAACGTGTGAGGGGTGTGCCGAAATGGGTGCGGCGCCGCCATGCCAACGCAGCCACTGGGGCCTTCGGTGGAGCTCCCTATGGGGCCACGAAACGTGTGAGGGGTGTGCCAAATTGGGTGCGGCGCCGCCATGCCAACGCAGCCACTGGGGCCTTCGGTGGAGCTCCCTATGGGGCCACGAAACGTGTGAGGGGTGTGCCGAAATGGGTGCGGCGCCGCCATGCCAACGCAGCCACTGGGGCCTTCGGTGGAGCTCCCTATGGGGCCACGAAACGTGTGAGGGGTGTGCCGAAATGGGTGCGGTGACGAGGGAGGGGGCAGCGGGAGGAAGGAAGGAAGGAGTGAACGCGGGGCGCTGTCTCTTCAAAACGAGGACCCAACACCACAGGATGGTTGGGAATAAACTTTTTCGCCGTCGGGACACCTGCCCCAGGGCGGCTGGAAAGTTTATACCCTTACGGCGGCACCGTAGGGGTATAAACTGTCCAGCCGCCCAGGGGCAGGTGTCCCCGACGGCGGAAAAAAATATCTTATACCGTTCTTCGCTCGCTGTACCTTGCTCGGCCATGCTGGCCATCCTGGCGCTGGAGCGGCTCTCGTGCCGGTGCGCGGCGAACGTGCGGACGGCCTTGGCGCTGCCCTTCTGGATGGCCAGGTGCAGGGCCGTCTGCCTGCTCACCACGTCGCGCTGGCAGAGGAGCGGCAGCTTGCCGGCGATCTTCTCCTGGAAGAATGCAGGGGCCCCAGGACACACAAATAAATAGACACAAATAACAGGATCCCCAATATTTTCCCATATGTTCTGGGTTTTTGTCTTCCCTCCACTTCCCATATTTTCCGACATTTTCTGTGGAATCGACGATTCATTGTGCCTGTGTGCTTTCTCCTCTCCTGAAAGAAGTCCGTGTTGCCGTGGTACACTGCGCGCCAGGCCTCCCGCTCCGCGGTCGTGGCACAGGTGGGGTCGAGCAGCGCCGGCGACTGGTCGCCGAAAAACGGGTCGACGGAGAGCTCCTCCACGGCCGGGGGCTTCGGCTTCTCCTTCTGGTCCGCCTGCTCGAGTGGTCGCTTGGTGCTGGCCTTGCCCTTCGGCGCAGAGGAAGTGGAGCCCGCGGCCGCGGGTGGCTTTGCTTTCTCCGTCTTCATCCTCTCCTGCAGTGCATCGATCGCCGCCTTCAGGCGCAGAGCCTCCGCGTAGTCCTCCGACTTCACCGCGGCCTTCTTCTGCCGCTGGAGGTCCTGGATCTCCTTGGAGGCGCCACCTGTTGATGCGGAGGGGCCGAAACGCAGTTCGCGAGCACTGCTTCGCAAGGTGCGGGCAATGCAGACAACGACTCCGATAGCTGGGGTGTTCAGGACAGCCGCATTTTCTACCAGAATGGGTGGTCCGATACGGAAGCCATGACCCAAAATCTCTTGGGAACATACGTTACATCCGCCGGCTTCCGCCAACGGAGCCGCCCTCGCTTTGTTTCCGCCAGCTTCCGCGGGCGTTCCGCCACCTTCTGCCGAAGAAAACAAATCAACAACCTTGCAATCCCTCAAAAACAAAAGCTTGTCTCTGGAAGTTCTTTATATATATATATCACAATAACAACAACGGTTAAGCATATAAGCGTATACAGATTGTACGCACGCATAAGTTCGCAGCTCCACCGAACAAGCCTCTGTATGTTCGATTCCTGCTCATCGTTCCTCCTTTCCCACTTTCATCCATGTCATGCCCGTTTGTGATCATCGCCTGGCTGTCAATCCTCGCCCTCTTATTAAATCGTCAGCCTTCTTCTACAAATCTGCGTGTACATATAGTGATTTCGACTGGAAGAGGTGCGCTCTCGATCCGCGAAAACAATATACATATAGTGATATAATTACGCTACCGAGTAACCCCACATACTGATTTTTAATATTATGTGTTTGCTTGTCATTATCATATATGCGCAATGCTGCGTTCTAAACCCTCGTCGCGAATCGTCGTCGTAAGGCGGCCGAGCACGAGACACCTATGGCGGGCGAGCACGGGACACCCAAAGCGGTCGAGCACGAGAGCGGAGCTGTCCAACGGTCGGACAAGTCAAGTCGGTCCAGCACGAGACACCTACGGCGGTCCAACAAGTCAGATCGATCCAGCACGCTACACCTAAGGCGGTCGAACAAGTCCGGTCGGTCGAGCACGAGACACCTAAGGCGGCCGAGCACGGACAAGCCAGGTCGGCCTCCTGGAGAGGAGGTAGAGGGCAAGGAGGAGGAGGAGGAAGAAGAGGAGAGAAGGGAGGAGGACCATCGTGCATAGCGGCCGAGCTCAGGGACCACCTCCTGCGCCCCCCTCTGGTGTCGAGAAAGTGCCACGCCTGCTGTGCCTGGACGACCGTCGTGCATAGCGGCCGCGCTCAGGGACCACCCCCTGCGCACCCCCTCTGGTGTCGAGAAAGTGCCACGCCTGCTATGCCTGGACGACCGGCGCGTATAGCGCCGCGCTCAGGGACCACCCCCTGCGCCCCCCTCTGGTGTCGAGAAAGTGCCACGCCTGCTGTGCCTGGACGACCGTCGCGCATAGCGGCCGAGCTCAGGGACCACCTCCTGCGCCCCCCTCTGGTGTCGAGAAAGTGCCACGCCTGCTGTGCCTGGACGACCGTCGTGCATAGCGGCCGCGCTCAGGGACCACCCCCTGCGCACCCCCTCTGGTGTCGAGAAAGTGCCACGCCTGCTATGCCTGGACGACCGGCGCGTATAGCAGCCGCGCGCTCAGGGACCACCCCCTGCGCACCCCCTCTGGTGTCGAGAAAGTGCCACGCCTGCTATGCCTGGACGACCGGCGCGTATAGCAGCCGCGCTCGGGGACCACCCCCTGCGCACCCCCTCTGGTGTCGAGAAAGTGCCACGCCTGCTATGCCTGGACGACCGGCGCGTATAGCAGCCGCGCTCAGGGACCACCCCCTGCGCACCCCCTATGGTGTCGAGAAAGTGCCACGCCTGCTATGCCTGGACGACCGGCGCGTATAGAGACCGCAGCGAGAGACCACCCCCTGCGCACCCCCTATGGTGTCGAGAAAGTGCCACGCCTGCTATGCCTGGACGACCGGCGCGTATAGAGACCGCAGCGAGAGACCACCCCCTGCGCACCCCCTATGGTGTCGAGAAAGTGCCACGCCTGCTATGCCTGGACGACCGGCGCGTATAGAGACCGCAGCGAGAGACCACCCCCTGCGCACCCCCTATGGTGTCGAGAAAGTGCCACGCCTGCTATGCCTGGACGACCGGCGCGTATAGAGACCGCAGCGAGAGACCACCCCCTGCGCACCCCCTATGGTGTCGAGAAAGTGCCACGCCTGCTATGCCAGGACGACCGGCGCGTATAGAGACCGCAGCGAGAGACCACCCCCTGCGCACCCCCTATGGTGTCGAGAAAGTGCCACGCCTGCTATGCCTGGACGACCGGCGCGTATAGAGACCGCAGCGAGAGACCACCCCCTGCGCACCCCCTATGGTGTCGAGAAAGTGCCACGCCTGCTATGCCTGGACGACCGGCGCGTATAGAGACCGCAGCGAGAGACCACCCCCTGCGCACCCCCTATGGTGTCGAGAAAGTGCCACGCCTGCTATGCCTGGACGACCGGCGCGTATAGAGACCGCAGCGAGAGACCACCCCCTGCGCACCCCCTATGGTGTCGAGAAAGTGCCACGCCTGCTATGCCTGGACGACCGGCGCGTATAGAGACCGCAGCGAGAGACCACCCCCTGCGCACCCCCTCTGGTGTCGAGAAAGTGCCACGCCTGCTTGCCTGGACGACCGGCGCGTATAGAGACCGCAGCGAGAGACCACCCCCTGCCACCCCCTCTGGTGTCGAGAAAGTGCATGCTATGCCTGACGACCGGCGCGTATAGTGCAGCCGACCACCGCACCTGCGCACCCCCTATGGTGTCGAGAAAGTACGCCACGACCGGCGCTAGCCACCCCCTGCGCACCCCCTATGGTGTCGAGAAAGTGCCACGCCTGCTATGCCTGGACGACCGTATAGAGACCGCAGCGAGAAACCACCCCCTGCGCACCCCCTATGGTGTCGAGAAAGTGCCACGCCTGCTATGCCAGGACGACTGGGGCCACGCCTGCTATAGCAGGACGACTGGGGCGTATAGAGACCGCAGCGAGAGACCACCCCCTGCGCACCCCCTATGGTGTCGAGAAAGTGCCACGCCTGCTATGCCAGGACTGGTGTCGTCTTGTGTGTGCGAGTGTGTGCATGCGTGCGGCTGTATTTAGACGCGTGTCGCCGAGACGTGCTGTGCTGTGCTCTGCTGAGCTGTGCTGTGCTGTCCTATGCTGTGCTGCGGTCTGCTGTGCTGTGCTGCGCTGTGCTGAGGAGGAGGAGGAGGAGGAGGAGGAGGAGGAGGAGGCGGAGGGGAGGAGGGCGGGTGTGGGGGAGACGCGGGCGCGGCGCGGCAGGGAAGAAAACCAGAACCCCACGAAGCATGTGGGGAAAATTGTCGCCGTTCGCTTGAATTCCGTTTCCTTCTGAATAACTCATCCCTGTCGCACCCCGAGGCTACTCTGAAAGGTGGGCCGGGAATGTTGCATGAGACTTCCTTACCATTTGTGATCCGGAAGCGGAACAAGTGGCAACAGCTTCGCAATTGGAAGGCGGGCGCTGTTCTAAATGTAGCTCTCGCCCACGCGCCTCGCACATTCGTCTTCACAATTTGCCAGAGCTTCACGGATTGAGGACGGGTGGTTTTCAAAATGTGGCTCTCGCCTCAGCGCCGCGCACACTCGTCTTAAAAAATAGCATGAACTTCACGCATTGACGGCGGGTCGTTTCCAAAATATGGTTCTTGCAGCAGCGCCACGTACACTCATTTTTCATTATGCCAGAGCTTCACGATTGAGGGCGGTTCCTTTTCAAAATGATGCTCTCGCCGTAGCGCCGCGTGGATACGTTTCAAACAGCTGCAAGACTTTCACGAATTCCCAGGGTCAACGTACCAAGAATATTGTTTCGGAACGATTCAGGAATATCAGGGCGTAACAGTTACGTTGGTTCGCGGTGCTGTAGTCCCAGGAATGGTGTTCTGGCACGGCACAAGATCGTCTAGACGCACCAGTCAGGTTGACTCGTGGCGTTGGAGTCCTGATGCTGGCTTTTTGGCACGCTTCAGGATCTTCAAACGGTTGTCTCCCAACGGGGCACTTCACTCAGTGGGAATGAATTCTCGTAGGGGCCTCGGGGGGAAGATGCATTCCAACATCGTTGATGGGTCTTGGGTTTACGCTGGTCCTCTTCCTCAGCCCCTTCCTCCTCATGTTATGCCTCCTCCCTCCTCTCCACCCGCGTCCGTAGCCATTCTGGCTCAAGCACACGGGGCCCAAGGCGCGTCGAGCCTTGTTTTGCTCAAGCGCGTCATGGGTCCTGCCCCGCCGCCTCAGCGAGGCGTGCTTGTGGTTTCTCGCAACTCTGGATGTTAGACATCGTCTATTCGCATGGAGGCGCGGGTCGGCTAAGAGCAGGGAGAAGTGTAAGAGTCAGGTTCAAATTCAATCAATGGGTGCATGCCACTTGTTGCACTTTTCTGGCGTTCGCGGATGTCCGTAGGATGTTGGGTTCATATTCCCCCATGTGCAAGGCCTTCAGAGTGCGTGTATTGGTCAACCTTGAATATTTATATGTATGTACAAGTTTGTTCTGTAGTGTGCCCATGGGATACCCTCAGGGTTCATACCCACAGGGTCTTGCGGCACTTTTTGCACCTGCTATACCTTCACATGTTGCGTTTATTTTTTCAATGGTGAATTAAAAAACCCTGGTGATCGGCATTGGTACCGCTCTGCATCTTTGAAGGTTGTGGCCATGTATGAGTGCAGTGTTGCATATCCTTCAGTAACTTACAAATGTTTCCGGCAATGGTTTGGATGTTTCGCTTTTTGGTGTACGCGGGGGTCATGTTATTCCCCTGCTTGGAAGTGGGCCTCGCGGCTTGCTGGCATCCATGAGTGCGGGGTACGTGCTTCAGTCGGTCGTGGCTGAAGTCGCTCGTACAGGCAGTCTTACCGAAGAGGTTGTGAGGTTGTCCCTGGGGTGTACGCGGGGTTTTCCCTACTCCGGTATGGTCTCCAAGTCGGTCTGCCGCCCGTATTGCGCAGCCTACATGCAGCGCGTGGAGTCTAGCATGGTCGCCATCCTCTTCCTTCTCCTCGTGTCGCTGGAGGTGGTCAGAGAGAAGAGCAGTATGGATTAAAGCCTTAGTCTTCAGGCATTTCCTGCACGTT